TTATAAAATAGGTGACATCCTGTCCTTGACGAAATTTACCAAATTGTTTTTCTAATGAATCAATTGTAAATTGCACAAGTTGCATATATGTTTGATTTGGAGCTCAAACTTAACTAACTAGACTAGCAAATGCATTGCAGGTGTGAAAGTATGTCGGGATAAATTTTTTATACGATTGCCTTGATGTTCAGCCATATAAAGAATCATTTCATCAAACATAATGTCAACTGTATACCACGGATCTAATTGTAGAGGATCATTATGTTTTATATCAGAGCCAAGATCCTTAACATGTAGAATTTTTCTCTGTGTCAAAACTTTGTGTATCATTTTTGTTCTCACTTGACTGAGTGAGAAGTGTGTTTATATGTTGGTGTTTTTTTTTTGTTTTGTTTTTTTTTTTTTGGAAAGCATACTTAGATATGTGAAAACTCGTGGTCTTTGAAGCAATAGAAATTTGATTTAAATCTAAAAGTTTAACAAGTCTTGCGGATTCTAGATGATATAACTACTTAAGATGGGAGGATTTTTCTGTAAGCCACAACTTTCAAATATTCTGCAACAGCTAGACATAATCAAATGTGAACGATGTAAGGTAAATTAAATTTGAGATAATTAAATTCAATATTTGTAGTATAAAACATTGCATTTGATTCTGATTTATGTTTTTAATGGTCAAATAATATTCAACATATATTTATATATTTTATGATCAATATCATTAACAATATCATAATCATGTTATCATTAACAATATCGCAGAGAAAAATATTAAATTTACTTTATGCGAAAAATAATAGCTTTTTTAAAAAAAATTTCACAGTGTAAAAACAGAATCGATGAAAATTTTTCGGAAGAAAAGTATCTGTTAAAAATGAAACATAAGGATCACAGTTAACTTCCTTGGGAAGTGTCTTTACCAACATTTTAAGTGGAAAGACCAGACAAAATCGAAATTAAAAATTATTTCATTAAATCGAGTATAATTAAAATGTTACATGAAGGAATAAGAAATATTGTAAAATTTCAATTTAACTGTTATAAATAGAAATCGAAATTTAGAAGTTTATCATTAGTGCATTTGCTTTTATGAATATAAATCTTATAGATACGAATATTAAATTAACTTTAAAAGAAAAATCTTAAATAAATTTCCTATTTTCAGAATGGCATCTGTTACTGCAGTAATAAAATGTTTTGCCAATATCCTATTGACAAATATTTTTACAAAATTTTTATCTGAACATTCGCATTTTTCTTAAGACAAAGACCTATGAACAGGACTTTGAAATATCCTCGAAAGCCTAACTTCACAGCTTTAATGAAAAATTATTCTAAAGTTATGTTGCTTGCCATTTGGGTTCCTAAACTTGTTTTATTTTAGAGAAGACTTTTATATTTCTTATAAGAGATTGCATTTGATGTATTAATGTTTTTTCGTTTTTCGATCATAAGATCCAAGAAACGAATACAAGTTGAATATACAAGTTTCAATACAAGCTGAAAATGATCATTCTAAGAAAAGAGATTCTGGTCTTTGATAGAATGATTAGTTTATTCGCCTGCTGAAAATAATACATTACATAAATCTAATTTGCTTCAGGTGTTCAGTTTGGTGTTATCAGCAAGTTCTCTCTAATTTTGTATGATCATGAGCGGTTCTGCTTCTAAGGTAGAAGCTGTTAATCCTGTCTTGACAAATATAAAAGGAAATTTGAAAATTAAGTTTATCTGGAGATAAAGATGAAATAGTAACTGCTTACTCAGATTTTGGGGGATGTCCACAAGCAAATGGAAACAAACAAGTTAATAAAAATCATTATTATTGATGTTTAAAACAGAAACATTTCTCGAAAATAGAATTGTTATCGAACAAGATAAGCAAATCAGACATGAAAAACATACAGATTACAACAAATTAAAATCAAGGATAAGGATATTGAGTTTATAATACGAGAGAAGTACAAAAATATTCTAAGATTTTTAAAATAAATCACAACATTAAAAAGGAAGCAGAATGGATTTGATTTTCACGTATAAAACATTTTATAAAATCATTAGATACTCGATGAATTCGCTTGTCTCTACTCTTCGTTCTATAACTGATTTTATAATTACCTTCTTATAGATCTTAACAACATGAGATATGCAGATGACACAGTGTTGATAGCAGACAGAAAAAGAAAACTACAGGAATTCACACAGAAGGTAGTAATGGAAAACAAGAAGAAATGACTAAACATCAATTGTAAGAAGATAGAATATATGGTTGTCAGCAATGGACTAGCCCAAGATGCGAAGTAAAAATTCCAATTCGTACTCCGCTGGGAAGTGGACGGAAAATAGGACACCGAAATCAGAAGGCGTATTGGAATAGGGAAATATCCTTCCAAATGTTAGACAAAGTATTAAAAAACATGACAATTTCATTAGAAACAAAGAAAAGAGTACTGGACTGTTATGCAATATTGGTCCTTCTGTAATGTCAATAAATGCCGGACAATCTCTTCACAGATTAAAAAGAGACTTAACGCAACAGGAATGTGATGCTATTGAAGGATGTTGAGAATACGATGGACTAAACATGTGAGCAATGTCAAAGTTTTAGATAAAATGAGAACAAAAAGGAAACTCATACTTAGAATCAGAAAAGACGTTTGAAGATGCTGGGATACATAATAAGAAAAGACTGCTGAGAAAATTTGATATTAACAGGATATATTAAAGGCAAAGGGGACAGAGGAGAACAGCACATAACCTAATCATAACCTGGTTGGCAGAACAGGGATTAGGAAAGAGGACAAAAGAAAAAAGTTTACTATATCTACAATAGACAGGAAGTTGTGGAGAATCATAATCGCTCATGTCCTGAAGGGACACGGCAGATAGAAGAAGACACAACTTTATATCGAAATTGTCAGTATAAGCAACCGTAACAAAGAATGTTGATTTTTGTCCGCCTCTACTGGTCTAATGGTGGCTGCTCCTGCTGATGCTGTTGTTGTGACGGCTACTGCTATTCTTCCGCTTCCTCTTAATCGCTTCTCCACACATGAGTAAAAAAGATTTGTGCCAGAAACATTTTCCAAGGTAACGTTTTCCAAATCTGCAAACATTGTTTTTCCAATACTGTCTATTTTTACTTTCCCACATTTTTCAGCTTATTATTTCTTTTTATATATCTTCACGATTGCCTCACATATTATTATTATTATTATTATTATTATTATTATTATTATTAATATAATTATTATTCATCTGCTCGCTTTTAATGAAAGTCTTTAATGAAAAGCGACAATTTTAATCTGGCAATCAAAGTTCCCAGACACTGCATACCATTTAGAAAATACCATGTAATTCGAAAAATTCTGAGCTTCTGACAAAGCAGTTATCATTTGATAAGATTCAAACACTAACGACAAGGGCAGTGTGAAATGTAGTAGATTTGAGCTGGACCCACAATCCATTTCCTCACTGAAACCTGCAAATCGATTAAAATTTGTTAGCAAGAATCAAACATTGTCAAAGGAAACTGAAAATTAGAAAATCATTCACAATGTAACTTGCCATAGTTTTTGTTTGTTTCTTTCTTTTGTAAGTCTCATATTTCATTTTTTTTATTCACTCGTACAAAATGGATGCTTTCATAATGTGTGCACCATAATTAAATTATTTTGAATAAAGTTTCAGATATTAGGTTTTTGCTGCTGGGTAAGAGTTGCTACTCGACAAAAAAGATTGCTTAACTATGCAGCGTTTTTATTTTTCGTGATATGAATCCCTGTCCCTGTATTTTTGGTCGTTATTTAGAAGTTTGCAAGAGAGACTGGAACTGGAAATAGTTTCAGAGAAATGTTTCATGAAGCACTCAGTCTCTGATTCAATACAAATGTGCCGAGATTTGGATAATTGTCATTTATATATTTTTTAAAATCATCGGTTTATATTTGTATAAAATTGGAGATAAATGTCAGTAAATTTCCCTTTAGTCTCCAGTTCTCTACTAGTGCGTATCTTTTGCCAGCTTGCAGGCAACTTCATAATACTTCGGAAAATAAATTCACATATTCATTGATATCATCTCTTTATTAATTATTTTATTTTATTATTTATCTAATAAATAGGCAAATGGACATGGTTGCTTATGAGCAAATAAATAATATGCATCAGCAAGAATAATAGTTCGAAATCAAAGAAAAATTAAAGAAAACATTTCTAGACGCAAAGTCATAATATACTAGATATTTACACCAGTTTGATAGAAACTCATTCGTTTATTTAATTTTCTGTTGTTGGTTCAACTCAATTCAACCCGTGAGTGTTTAATAGCTGGAAAATGAATCATTCATTTATATATAAATGCTGTAATTCTTTCGACATCATTTGTTTTAAATGTGAGACGGTTGTAATGAACTGTTCTTGGTATGTTCTTGAGGGGAGACGGGTTAATTTCTTTTAAATTCAAACGGTGTAAATTTTCGTATGATTAGCTTGAAACTTTAATCCTCAAACAGCAGCATAGTTCCAAAAGAGAAAAAGTCATTAGAAAAATACTGGAAAGGTTCTACGTATTTGTTCTTCATTGGCAGCACATTGTTTTGTGACGACTGACGGGAAAATTATTCCGTTTACAAATAATAATACACCCTTTTTGTCCAAGAAAAAGATCTTATCAGCAATTGCCTATATTAAGGAAAACTCGTTGACATTAGCTATAAAGAAATGTTTTCAAATTCCATAAAAGCCGGTAATTTCTCTGTGTATCTTTCTTTCACACTCATTCATATTCTCACCTTTTCTGAAGCTATTGAAAATGTTTCATTATATTAGTGTGGTGGTCTGTCAGGTTCGAAAATAACATCTATGTGTAGGGATGAACTCGAAGGTGACTGTGGAGTCCAATGTGGGAAAGGCAAAGGCATCTGCAATGGGAACAAAGAAATTAAACTAAAAGTTTGTGTGCTTCTACTAATGCCTCCCTTTTTACACGGGCCTCATTGATGCTGTCACGTCGGTTGTCCTCAAATGTCTCTTTTGCTTCGCGTGTCAGTGCACGCTACCCAGTGCGATCCTCTGTGCAACTCTTCAGTCTGCTTCGAGACTATTCCAATGTGGGTGATGTTGGTCTTGATGAAGTCTTCGAAACGTTTCAATGACCTACCATTGTTTCTGTTATGGTCCGGTTCCTTGTACCACGGTGATAGTTCAAGGTAGAACCAATAAAGAAGAACTCGAACACGGATATGGAATAACACAGATATATTACAAACAGGAATATATACAGAGAAGTAGAAAGTGTTAGTACGAACAATCAGGTTTAGTAGTAATTGTCTGAACGCGACTCTGTTTCGGACTGCCTCTGACTCGACTGACTGATTCGCTCGCTCTGACTGACTGACAGACTCCTGACGGACTTCTGACGGACCTCACTCCAGACTTCAGACTGAACAGTATTTAGTCACCCCCCCCCCACGAGGGTATCATGTGGCACAAGGCCGGTTTAGCGTGGGATCTCCGATCCCATGGGCTCGGCCAAAAATATGCCATTTGAACTTGTATAAACGGGTTCAGGGTCGGTTTACCTCTCCGAAATAGACTCCGCCCTTCGGCGTAGACTCGTTCGGGTTCCTCCCCTCCCGAAGGCAGAGAGTTCAACCGATCAGCGGGTCAGCCGGTCGCCCGACTTCAGACTGAAATCCCTGCTTCCTCTTGAGGCGCAGTATTTTTTACGTATGGAATAGTCCATTATGTTATTATGGGTAAGGTCCCATAACAGTTTCTCTTTCCCTTATCTCGCCATAGAGAGGTTGGTTTGAGATTTTCCATCCGGATGTCCATCCAGATGACATTACCCGTCTATCTGAGTTCGGCTTTCAGGATCATAGTTTCAATGTTAGTTGTTTCTGCGTGGTTCAGGACCTCAAGGTCTGTGATCCTATGTTGCCATTTGATACCCAATATAGAGGGTAAGCTTCGCATGTGAAAGTGACCCAACACTTTGATGCCTCAGATCTCACATACATAAAGAAGGCTAGTGACAACAACTACCTTGTATACCTTAAGCTTGGTAAGCTGCTGGATATTGTGTTGATTCAGTACACGAGCTCGCAGTCTGTCCAGGGCTTGACTCGCATTGCAGATCCTGGCGTTGATTTCTTTGTCAATACCGTAGGAAATGACACTTCCGATATACTTGAATTCATCCACAGTCAAAGAGAGACCCGTCCAATCTATACCTAATGCATATGCAATCATCTATGTTTCTGGCAGACTAAAAAGAAGTTAAATAGCTCTGAGCTAGGAAACATTCCTGCTACACATCGTTAGAAATAAAAAGTGGCTCAGACGACTCTCCTTCAGAAAGTGCCAGACCATGCTATCATGAAACAGATGGATCAGAGTCATGAATTTTCTGAGGCAGCAAAGTTTCTGAAGAACCGTCCCCATGGCCACTCTGATGAAAGAATCAATTGCCCTGGTCAGGTCGATAATGACTGCATACAGATCCAGATTTTGTTCTCTGCACTTCTCTTGCACCTGAAGGATAATAAAGATCGTGTCAATTGTGTTTCGGCCTGGACGGAATCTACACTGGGTTTATGGTAATTTCCCCTCGGAGATGCTGTAAATCAAGCGATTGAGGATGACGCGCACCAAGATCTAGCCAGCAATATGGAGGAGACACTGTGGCAACTAAGTGGCATATCTCTCCTGTCAATATAGTAAAGAGAACATAAACGCTGCTCATAAAGACTAGATATAGTCAAAAGTTCTGGAACACAGACATACAAGGTTAAACAGGCGACTCCCATATATAAAAATTGATGAGATATTTAGAACAATCATATAAAAAGATAAGATAGTAAAAAACAAGTCAATTAAAAAGATGTGATTGTAAAGAAAATAAAAATATGCTAACAAAAGATAAATCATGTAAAAAGATGATATAGCAAAAAAAAAAGATGAATTAAGAAAGATTAAGTTACATAAAGAAGATGAGATAATTATGCACAAGTAATATCAAAAGTTGAAAGACAGATTGAAAATATACCGTCGACTGAGAACTGTTTAAAAAATATTATCTAAACAATACATACTCTGGAAATTTTACATGTGCACTAAGAACTTCTTCCAAGACCGGATTATATAGGAAATAAGAAAATGAAAGCTTCAGAACTGTAGACGGGGCGATGTCAAATGATTACGGGATTAAAATGAAAGAATGTAAATAATTAGAAGGTACGAAGAACTTGTCAGCGATCTGTGAAAAAAGGGGAACATGAAAGTTCAATTCGTGCTCATAACAGAAATGTAAAAAACAAAACAAAAAAAAACTAACAATATATCTGAAGAGAACAAAATGAATCCAAAGTAATAGCAGACTGGAACATTGCAAAAATAACCAATCATGGAAAAGATAAACTAGACAAGAGTAGAAAGTGCAAAATATGTGATGATAGAGATTTAAAAAAAAGTTAGTCCAGAAGAAACATTATTTTGTGGGGAGGGTGATCCATCGGGAACTGTGCAAAAAACTGGAGTTTTATCAGGCAAGTCAGTGATCTGTTCATTAAAAGAGAGATTTCTTGGATTTTAGGATTCAAACTGATTACCTAACAGTCAGTTGTGTGCCATGCGTGATACACGCTTAGGCGATCATGTATCTTTCGATTCATGACTGATGAGGGAGATTTTTCCCGCAGTAGGTCGCCATTTCTTTCTGCGGTAGACCAGTTGCCATCCAAGGCTATAAAACCTGGTCTATCCTGCTATTTACTCATAGCTGGGGAGAAGACGACGATTCATAGCTTTCCCAAAGGTATTAGTACGTAAGTGAATGTAATAGATTCGACTGGAATTCGAACTCGGCTCTCCGATTCTGCAATCCAAGCCACTATCCATTACTCTACCGTGCCTCCACGTAACACACGCCAGAAATCCAAATTTAATTATTGTAAACAAGGGGAGAACATCTGTTTTTTTTATCATGGATTTAACTGTTCGAGAAGAAGATAGAATATTTTTAAACAGAAATGTAGGACAAAAATTATTTCAAGTAAGACAATTGAAATAATGACAACATTTAAAGGTGAAAGCTGTACTCATTTTCGTTGGAACGCTTGGAATAGTTCCAAAACGCTCAAGAAAATGAGATTCGAGGAAGAATTGGGATCATCCAAACAATATCATAGAAGCTATACTGAGAGAAGGACATGTAAGTTTATTTCTGTCACTCATCCACCAGCTACCTGGAGTGATCATAATAATGAACGACATAATCAGTGAATGTATTTTGGCAAGAATGTTCCAATAGACGAGAGAGTTGATCTGAATGATAGATAAGTAGAGTTGAGAAAGTTTTCAAGCATAAAGGGTTTTCGAACAAGTTATTATCAGAACACTGGGGCGAATCCTGAAGAATCTAGAAAGGGAGCTGGTGTAACTAAAAATTAATGTGTTGTATTAATCTTTTAAAGGAACGTATTCATCACTACATAAAAACCAGTTTCATAGTTTAATTATTCTAACTGAATTAGTAAGGAAAATTTTCAAAAATAATTAAATAAAAATAAATGAATGTGGTACGGAGTGTATATCAGTTAAAATGAATGAACAAAATTCTTTTTATTCGTTGCAATTACAGGATCGATATTCAAAATTTCTATTAGACTGATTTTTGCAAACACTATCCTACTGTTTATTAAGTTTGGTCCGGCGCAACATTTGCAAGACATCACGAAATTCTTTTCTGCGTAAGGAAAATTGTATTTTGTTGCTGACGCTATTCAGAACAAGAACACCGCCTGTTGGAATGCTAATAGTTAGTAATTGCAAAGAAGTGGGCATAATGGATAACATAAGGACATTTCATTTGACAGTGAATATATGATATTTAATATTCATACAAGTACCTAATACATTTTCTTTCTCACCGTTTTAAAAATGCCATACGTGAAATATGTGTTTCAGAATATTCCAAGAAATAATCATATTATACGTGTTGTATGTAATATTTGCACTAGACACACAAAACCTTTTTCCATATTTCCCTCTGTATTCTGCTTGATGAAATTCTTTTTGTTTTTATTATCCCTAGATATTCCAACTATTACCGTCATTTTTATTTTAGTTTAATTTTTAACCCACTGTTCTCGCTCACTTTAATTTTTGTCATGTTTATGTAATGTCTAATTTTTAGAAGTTTGTACTATTTACATTCTGTTTCCTTCGTCTTTTATACTCTTGCTAGGATGAGACTGTCCAAAAGAATTACATAACTTGGTGTTAACGTTTGATTCTAATATATTTAGAAATAGAAACCATGCAAGTGAGAAATTTGTCTTTTGTAGGAGATTTTAATGGTTTCACTGTGTATCATAATCTAAAATGCTCAGGCATATTAACAATCAGTCCTTGCATTCGTTACATTGCGATATTCTAGTTGAAAAAATGAAGAACACAAAAAGGACAACGAAAAAGTGAAGAAAAGTCCGATCCTACCTGTAAAAAAACACTGAAAATCTGTTGGCTGAAATAAACAAAAACAACAACACAACTAGACTGAAAATGGATGTAATAATGCGAATCGTAATATATATTGTATATATTGATATCGAATAGCAATATACATTAGTTTACTAAGTTTACAGTGATTGTAGCCTTATTGATGAAGAACAGATTCTCCACCACCACCACTACAGATGATCAAATCAAGACACTGATCGAGAATAACTCTCATTACACAACGCGGGAACTGGCAGAAGCACTAAATTTATCAAAATCCATCATTTTTGAGCACTTAGTGAAACTTTGGTACTCAGATTACTATGATGTTTGGATACCACATGGTTCTGAGTGAAAAAAATCTTTTGAATCATATTTCATCTGTGATTGCTGTATAATCCCGTTGAAAATGCACCCTTTTGAAGCAAATTTTAACGGGTGATGAGAAATGGATAGGTTACAGCAATGTTCAGCAAAAAAGATCCGGGGGTAAGCGACATGAGTCAAAGTCATGAGTATGGGAAAAGGATATAAGCCTTGCATTATTGATCAAATCTTATAACAGTACAGATATTCGCTAAAATAAATAATAGAAAAGAATTAAAAACACTGAAATTATTTAATTAGGAAAATCTTTAAGGACTAAAAAATGTGTTACTCTGAAGGTGCAATATATTCTAAATTGGGACGAATGAAAGTTTCTTAATTAAGCCGTTTGCATCTTTTCCTGGTCACCAAAGAATATGTAACCTAAAGTTATCTGAATGGAATCTATTAATTTCAGAAGGACACTTTCCATCGATAGCTACATTTTGATGGAATAATTGTGAAAAATATTTTGAATCAAAATAGCCGATAGTAAAATATTCCATTCTATTCGGACCATATAAACAGCATCAAGTTTTGCGGATAAACGATTGTGCTTGGTATTCTTGCTGTGTTCCTCGTTAAAATGTCTCCATTTTTCATCATCGCCTGTCAAACTGTTTTTTAATGAAAACTTCAGTACAGTCAAAGAGACTGTTTTCATTTAACTCATGTGAAAGTCAGACATAAACGCTATTAACATAATCAAGCTGGTGCAAATGATTTACAACTCTTGATTTGGATATTTTTAGCGTGTTGTCTATCGTTCATGTTCATCATTATTATTGTTTGATCACTATCAAGTTATCTTCCCGACATAGCGAAATCTGCAGCACGAAACTTGAAACAATTTTTGTGCACTCCGGCGGTATTTGAACCTGTGTTCTCCTTGGGGAAAGATCAGATGGGATTTAAACCATCTCGACCAAGAAGTGTGTCGATGATCAAGCAAAAGTGAATAATGCCATATAATAGTGCCATATAATAGTGCCATATAAGTTGCTGGAATTTGAAAGAAATTTGCTTTTACAAGGAACTATTCGATTTTGCTTGATCATCGACTCACTTCGGCGATTAAGTAATATATATATATATATATATATATATATATATATATATATATATATATATATTGAACTATTTCTAAATTATAATCATGTAATAATTAAATCTTGTGACGTTTATAACGAAACTTAGTGTGTCTATAATGTCAAATTTGAAAATTAGAATTAGATTTCATCTGTTACGAAAGGGTATAAATATGAGATCTATTTATAAGTTTGGCATGATTTTATCTTACATTTGGTCCTGATGAGCTGACAAATCAGATGTCACTTAAACTTTTCTTGATTAATTGTTTCGCGCGGGTGTCTGTATATACATACAGACACCCGCGCAAAACACACTATAAAAAAACTTGATAAGTATTCACTTAATTGCTGATAACTACCGAGGAGTGGACGGGCGGCTCCGTCTACGAAACTCTGGAGTCAGGATGCTAAAGTCAGCATCATTCAATTATGCGACAAACTTTTTAATTATATTAATTCTCTCTCTCTCTCTCTCTCTCTCTCTATATATATATATATATATATATATATATGTGTGTGTGTGTGTGTGTGTGTGTGTCTGTGTCTGTGCCTGTGTGTATGTGTGTATGTGGACACTGATATCAACACTGAGTGACGAGAGCATGTTTCATGCTTGAACGCAATCTTCAGGCCTGAAGTGTTTAAAATAAAAATGGGACGACTATTCAATTCTTCAACAATGCAGCAACTGTTAAAACATGTAGTAATCTGCAGGTATACTACCCTTAAGGATCCAAGTTTACTACAGAGAACTGCCCTACAGTAGTCTAGTGGAGTAAAGCTTTGGTCCACGTATTTGTTACATAGTAAATGTAATCAATCGTTGGACCTGGCAGTATGTATTTTGATATCCCTAGACAATGGGCAATAGAACGAGTTCAATCTAACCCCGTAAATTAAATTAATTAGGATTCAGTTCAGAATTCTCTGTCGGTTACCCAGATCGATATACACCTGCTGAAGGAAGGAGGGCACAACGTTTGAAACAACAAAGAAGAGGACACTAGCCTAAATATAAATACCGTAAATAACCCTACAAATTAATACATAATTTTAAGATTTTATAATTTATTCTAATTAAATTCTTTTTAAATAAAAAAAATTTAATCGAAAATAATGTTTTTCATCAGATAATAGGGCCCATAATATATTTTATTCATAAATAATGACAGTTTTATTGCATTTTTTAAAAATTTTTCAATTCCAAGCAGATTTTCTGTAGTTGGGGGTTCTGTTTAATGTCCACCAAAATTAATGTTTAAATTCTCCAAGGACTTGTATAAGTAATATAGACCTACAAAAATGAATTTTCCGAAATTTCATAAAATAAAATAAGTGGGACTGGGTAACAGATATTCAAAATTTTTGCAAAGATTTTCTATAAAAGAAACATTTCAAAAATATTTTCATTAATCTCCTGAAAGTTTCATTAAAATCCGACAAATATTTATTAAAATCCGGCGATTTTTGCAAGAATTTCCAAATGAATTTGTTTTTCATCGAAAAAAGGACGCTCAAATTTCCCATATAAATTTATACAAATTTTAATAAACATTAAAATGAATAACAACCAGCATAAATTAAGAAGAAAGAAATCGAATCTGCAAATATATATATATATTTTTTTTTTACCTCAGGGAAACTGCTACATTCCTTTTTTCTACCAGAAAAATGAAAAAATTCAGGGATAGCAACTCAAACAAATGTACCCACTAAAAATAACCTTTATAGTAATAAGAGATAGTCTGACAAAAATCCTTCCAAAAAATGGCTAATGACATACTAATAGGGCAGAAGCGACTTAATCTGTGTTTTGATAGAAAGTGATATATGAATAAGTTAAAATGTACGCAACCATTGAGCAATAGGTAGCTCGCTTTTTTGACAGGATAACTATTACCAACGTAGCAAATTCGATATTTCCTCGTTTACACACTATCTTACTTTTCCCCTGGAAATTACTCACTCGTTGATCGGATATTGGAAAACGAGACACATTATAAAGATTAAGATACGATATAAATTTAAATAAATCCGTGGGTGGTTTCGTGCGACTGTCTAATCGCTTCGAGCAGAGTTTTCAATTAGTTGCTGACATTTAATTACCTATGCTTGTTCAAATTAAACATTTTTAGCGATATATATTAAAGAAGACGACAATGAAGAGAGGAAAAGTTTTCCTGTTTGTCTGTTATATCGCTCTGGGCAACGGAAAACAAGAGAATTTGTAACTATGTCGTGAGGATTACCCGAATAATATTGATCAATTGTCTCACGAAATTTCTATTCTTTTCTCTCTTTTTTTCTCTCCCTCTCAACTCTCACTCTCTCTCTCTCTCTCTCTCTCTCTCTCTATCCCTCTCTACCTATATAACAATCTATCTATCTCTATCTCCCGCTTGTTCCCTCACTCTTCTTTTCCCTTTCTTCTATTTTCTCTTACTCTTTATTTTTCCACCCTTCCATTCAATATATGCTCACACCTTCATTCTTTCTTCCTTTCATTCTTTCTTTCTTTTCTTTCTTTTTCACTTTGATTTTTTCATTCTCAACAGTAAAATTGTAATTCAACAATTATTTTGGAGCCTATATTTAACTCCGAATTTAGAATATATCTACTATTAATTAGTTATTATTAGCTTAATTATTCAACATACAAACAAGTGTTCAGTTATTTAATGCAAGGGTGTGCTGAAATGTTCTCGGCCCTTGGGTACTTCTCAAAATCTGAACAAAAACCAATTATCAAAAGATTTTTGAGCACCTAATCATATTAATGAAAATATTCTGCCTAAGGAAATGGTGCCTAAGCTCTGTTCAGGGAACTAAGCTTCTCTTCAACTTTTTCAAAAATTCTTTTTCAACGTCCTCTTTCTGGAACACTAACATCTACTTAATCTCATCCACAACGTTTCAACAGCAATTTAAACATCCGGAAAGTTTAGATGGTTACATCTTCACTGTAGGTGAATTGATGCGATTTTTTTAAAGGACCATGCACGATGCAGGAAGACTAGTCATTGTGAATTCAACGGAATCTCACTAAATAAGAGAGTGTTTATTCATGCATATCTGATTCGTTATCTGTTGTGGTAGGATCCACCTAATTTGCATAGTGGAGTACCGACCATATAAATATGGTTGGTACCGGGAAGAGAGTAGGAGGAATCAAGAGATTCAATCCAGAGACTCTGCCCGACTGCGACTAAGTCAACACATTCTCTAGGAACGGTCTTCCCAGGAATATACAAAAGACTATATGTAAATATTGTGTACACTTTCTTGTTTCAATAAATTTTGTTCTAAGTACATTTTGTGTTGTATTATTATTCCATGCATTAGTCAAGTTTCAACATTATCGAAATAGTCAAAATGACTGGAGATGTACCCTGCATTGCATGGGCTTTCGTAGTCGTGAACAACAACGGCAACTCCGTTACTGTTTCTCACCGCGGCCACAAATTTTCGCCATTGAACCATGAAAAACAGATGCAATATCACCTGGCCAGGTAATTCACATAAACATTTTTTCTTCTGGCAAACACTCAAGTTTGTACTTGGAGAAAACCACATCATGCAGTGAATTCAGTCAGTCGACAGAGTATTGAACAAGTTAATGTTGACATAATAACGCTGTGTGGTGAATTCTATAGGAATTGAGAAAAGGCCACTAGTGAAACTGGGGTCTGTCTCGACAGCACTGACATTAATAGTTCTTGTTGCAGACCATTTGTTTTCCAAGTAGCACAAAATTGATTCCAGGAACATTCCCCATTGATCTTCCATTCGTTAGATCTATATCAAATGAAGCATGGCTGGAAAATACAACATAACTAGCGTGCTCTGTATATTTTGTACGATGCCAGTTTCATCATTTTGCATTTGGGGGAAAGTTGAACATACATTTCCAGTGTTTGCTGAGCGTTTAGGGTTGTCATGAGCCATTATCAAAAAATGATAATGTTCTGTCTGTCTACGCATTGTATTTTCTTTGGTAGTTTTCGAGTGTCTCGTCTTCGCACGCGTCGATTTTTCAAGTAACGCGTCTTTACGCATCACTCATAATCTATCATACACATTTATAAGTCTACCATTCGTCTATACTTCGAATATTGCTGCCATATATCATTTGATGTTCCTGCTATATGTATTCTTGATAAAATTCAAAAAGTCTGAAATGTTATTGGAATACTAGCTTCAGTCACTACCCCACTTCCGTAATGTCGCCTCCCAGTGCCCTTTCTATAAATACTTTCATGGTAATTGTCCTGACAAACTTTGCTCTATGGTAGACTATGAATTTAAGCACAGTACTACATTGGTAACAAGGTCTCATCATTTTATAGTTTATCTTTTTCGATTTTTCTCCTCTCTTCTTTTTTATTTCATTTCGCTTTCCATTCTTTCAATGACTATCCAACTTAAATTGCAGTTTACTTTTCCTTCTCTCTCTCTCTCTCTCTCTCTCTCTATCTATCTATCTATCTATCTATCTATCTCTCTTTGTCATTCTCCGTATCTGTCTCTCTCTCTCTCTCTCTCTCACTCTTGTATGTTTTTTTCCTTTTCTCATCTTTCCGTTTTATTTTTGTTTATTTTTATTTAAAGTGTGATTTTTATTTAATCAAATCTAAATTTAGTTCGGTTTCCAAGGAAGAAACATCTTGAATTACCAAATCCATTGGCAGTGTTGCTTTTCAAGCGGAACAATCATTTTAAGATATGAGATAATTAAGAAAAAAAAACACTTATTCATCTCCCCTCACACCCTCCCAATTTCGATTTAATAAAAATGATTCGTTCTTGGATCGACTTCCAGAAGGCCTTTTTGTTTATTCTTTTCTTTTTCACACGTATCCTGCGTTGCTCATTGGTCACTGGCTTTGCCTCAAAAATTTCCCAGCCTCGTTTACAGTTTTACTGAAATAAAACCGGTGCGTTATTTTAGGAATATAATCTGTTATATTTTTGGAATTTAAATTCACTTCGCGTCACTATTCAATAGTTATAAGAACTGAAGAAGTTTATTTTTATTACGTGTATTATTTTTACACGTCTCAACGTTATTGATTTTGCATAAGTGGAAGAATGCAAAATACAACACATGATGATTTTCGTATGGATTTTCAATGAATCGCTTGAGTTTTGTAACACATATCAAGACATACCTATGCACTAGTTGCTTGGCACATGACAGATTGTGCTGCACAAAAAAAAAACAGCCACATACTCAAATCAGAATTATTGTCATCATCATCATCATCATTATTATTATTATTATTATTAGTGTGTGCTGAATTACCAAGTCCCCTCCAAGATCTATGTGCAAAAAGGGCACTGTAGGAGAGTTATTTATGTACGTTTTGAAACGTTTCATTTAGATGGAGTGGGGTTGTGGATGATATATGCATTTCTGCACAAAGTAATCTTTTGTAGCTCTGAAATGCTGATATATCCAGGAATTTTACTCACAAGATTTTTCTTATGATCTAATGCCCCCTATCACAACAGGGATAATCATAGTTTTAAGTTTCCGCATTTTTTGCTACTTCGATTTGAAGGTTTTTATAATTTGACAGTTTTTGAAATTCTTTTTGAGGAAAATTGGATTTCTGGAGATAAATCATATCGATAATTTGGCAGGTTCCGTTTTTTAAATCTTTTATGACTACGTCTGGTTTATTTGCATCAATTTTCCTGTCTGTGAGTATTGGGAAATTCGACAGTATAGGCACTCCATCACTATCTGTGACATCATTTAGGCAGTGTTTGTATCGTGTATCCGGGACTTCATTAACATAGTTCGAACAAACATGCCAGTGAATATATTGCACTGGGCAGTCATATCTAATAATGTATTCTTTATCAGCAATGACTGGGCACTATGATACTATGTGGTCAACAGTTTCATCAAATTTATGACATAAGCGACAGGTGGGATTTGCGCCATATTTACTGATTTTAACCTTGTAGACATTATTTGGAAGACTTAGATTTTGTGCTGCCATAATAAGGCCCTTAAGATCACTGCTTCTAAGCTATTCATATGTCTGGCGAATATCGATGCCTGGTTTATCCAGATACTTTGGGTACTTTTCATGCAAGGGCTTAGATTTTGTTCAAGAGTTTTCATATAAGCAGCTTTCGCAAGCAACTTAATTTTTTTTTGCAATAGTCGTGGGAGGATAATGGTCCTGCGGAGGTTTTGACGGCGCCTAAAATTGATTTAAGTCAATATTTAAATCAATATTATCGATATAAACGCACGCGTGTGTAATTATGTGCGTTCACTTTAAAAGCAGATATGGGCACTTTTCATGTCAGAATTAATAGCGGTAGTAAATTAATTAAAAAATGTCGATTTAAGGGCTTATATGGGAATAAGAAAGGACAACAATAGCTATATTTTTGTTTCGGATGCAAAAGTTATCATAATGAAGGATTTCTTTCGCAGCCAAACTTTGCTTTTATCCCTTTTGATACAGTTACATACATTTTTTGGGATCCCCCAAACCTTTTACGTTTAATTCTATTATACGTATTTTTTGCACTCAAAAACTACATACCTTTTATTTACGTTTGCCTTTTAAAATTGATTAAAATGCCGTCTAAGAAGAAAAAATTTTCGATTTTTTCATGGCTGCTGCCTCCACTACAAAAGCAGCAAGGGCAAATAAACCACAGAGCAAACTTTTTTGCGCCTTTCTCAGATGGCCTCACGCCTCTGCTTTTTGTCCCATTTCCACGGAAAGTACCGCTGAACAGACCGAAAATTTGGCAGCAGAAGCATCAGTTATGTCATCACGACGCGCTAGACTTTCAACTGAAGAGCGTTTAGTACAGAATTCACAGGACGCAATACGCGTTTCTAGAGCCAAGGCTTCCGAGTCCCCAACACAGACAATCCTTTTTAAATTTAAGCAATGCCAGCGCTACAGCATGCTCTAGAGTTTTAGAAAAATCCTGAACAGACCAAATTCGCGTCGTCTTAAAAATGCTAGGGCTTTTTAATCTTCCAGGGGTTCAACAAACTCAACAAACCGCTTTTCGTCGTTTAAATTTGCCAGCGATACTGCGTCTGCCAGATTTTATATAAAATATATGCAGACAGGTAATCGTCGTTTGAGGAATTCCAGATCTAATGCGTCTGCCAGAGCTTCAGAAAGCCCTAGGCTACGGCGAGCACGGCTCAACAACAATGGCCAAATCGCAAGGACACATGCTCAGTGTTTTGCCCATGAACAGCTTTACGTAGGCTGCTCCCAAGTCGGAAGTAAGGATAACGTTTTCGTTTACTCCCCAACAAACAAAGCTAAAAATATTACCTACGCAGAAGTTCTATGGCCGGTCATGTTTAAACGCAATGTTCACATCTTTATGTCAACTGCATCGTAGGTTCCTTCATTTTTTAACCCGATTTATTTAAAGGTCGTCGTAGTATCCACTTGCCATTACTAAGACATTTCATTAAAGGCTGTCTTGCTCACCACTTGCTCCCTTATCATTTCCCCAACCATGACTTTTCGCACTTATTTTTGTCGACCACGTAACCATATTCAGTTGCAACACAAAAACCAATACGTGGGAAGGTGGATTTTCTTAATTGTCAGAGAAGTCGAGTATTTATCCACGGAAATCAGACCTCGACAAAAAGAAGTGGGATAATAAAAGAATAGCAGCATGCAGAGTTATAATATGCATTCTCTGTCGTACACCGTTGATGTGTTTCTCCCCCTTACCATAAGGGCTGCTTTAAGTAACGCCTTCATGCTATTAAAAACTACAAAAAAGTTTGTGCCACTTACAAGTACTCGCCACGGCACCTTTCCATACTTCTGTTATGTGGTTCTGTTTGCGGTAGTGGCAGCGTCGTCTTTCCCGCTATTGCGTTTTACTACCTTGCAACTAACACAGGGCTTCATGTAATGTCTTGCACTCTGGGATAATAAAACCATCCCAACAGAATACCACAACTCACCAAAAACTTCCTAAGGCCCGTGTTCGTATTGAACTTGACTATTTTTAATTGGAGGTGTCTTAATAATGGCAAACGGCTGATGCTACCATGGCTGTCCATTGCTTCTTTTAAGCCTTACAAATTTTCTTCCGTTGTGCTCATGAATACTGACAACTTGTGTACATTACGTTTTTTACGTGGGCGGCCATCAGTTCTACTAGAGTATGACGGTTATATAGTTTACTCCCGGGCAACGCCGGGCTTTACTGCTAGTATATTTCTAACTGAATGAGTCCTTATTCAGCACATTACCTGTCATCATCAGCTTTAGAGTGGTAGTCAGTAGCTTAAGTATTTTGGAATCAATGCGTTCTATATCACTAAAGCTCCATTCTATAATGTCAAATCTGTAAGTAACAACGGGTATTATCAGTGAACTTATTGTGTCTATTCTATTCAGTTAATTGCGTTTGGTACTTTGGCACTCTGCGATAGCTATCTTTTCTTATGTTTTCCTTCATTTTTGAGTTTTTTTATGCCATTTACTTCTTGAATCGCTGAATATTTGTAAACTTCTTGTAGATTACTGATGGAGACATTGGTGTCTATTACTATCTGATTATATTTGACAAATTCTTCTGCTTTAAACATTGCCTTGGCACACTTGTCCAGACCAAATTCCATTCCGATATCATCACTGAATCTCTTTACCAGTATGGATTGGAGATTATTTTCATTTCTTGCATAAAGCTTGAGGTCATTCATGTAGAAGAGGTGGTTAATGCTATATTTGTAGATTTTGTAGCCGCTGTTTGAATCGTCGAACAATTTAGACAGAGAGGACAGAGCAAAACAGAAGAGTGGGGAAAATCAATCTTCATCGTATATCCCGCGGTTGATGCTTATATTATTTATTTTAATATTGCCCATTTGTATGGTTCAGTTTGATGGATGCCTTCCATGTATACACACTAATCTTAATAAATTCAATGTTTTTGGGTGAAATCTTATAAATCTGTAGTGATTTAATGATGCATTCATGGAGGACACTATCAACACCTTTTTGTAATCTATCTAAGCAGGATTTGGTCATTGCATCCATTTTTGCCTCCCCACCAAAAAAGGTTATTTTCTTCCAGGAATAAGTAGGTTCTGTTGGTAATTATTTATGTCAGGATTATGTGGTCAGGTTAATTATTATTAAAAATTTAATATTTTTTTTAGTTTTGGGAAGCAGGTAAATTATTTTTTTATTTCTCACAAAGGTGATTCACAGCATTCTCCTTGAGGCATGGACTTCCAGGAATCCCTTCAATTAGTCTACTGCAATCTTTTCCAACCAGTCCTAGGGCTCCAACTACAACAGGGATTGTTGATGTTCCCATATGCCACATTTTCGAGATTTCTATTTCAAGGTCCTTGTATTTTGACAACTTTTTGAATATCTTCAAAGATACATTGCAGTCAGCAGGGACTGCCATATCAATAAGGAGGCACCGTTTTTTGTTTGTGGTCTTTAATAACAATATCTGGGCGGTTGGCCTTGATTGTTCTGTCAGTGTGTATTGTGTAGTCCCATAGAATTGTAACAGGTCCTATCTCCGTAACCGGGTCTGGGTGGTGTTCATACCAGTTTCTTTCAGTTTCCTTCCCGTAGAAGTTGCAGATTTTTCCAGTGCAGATATTGGCCCACTCTGTCATGTCGGGTTTTATATTCAGTGGGTGCCAACACCGTGCAACCTGATACAAGATGATCAATCGTTTCTGGATATTTATCACAGAATCTGCATTTTGGGCTGACACAATATTTTAGTATATGTGCTTGATAATTCCTAGTTAGCAAGCATTGGTCCTGCGCAGCAAGGATAAAACCTTCAGTTTCCGCTTTCAACCCTGCACTACGTAGCCACTGATGGGTACGGGTTTTGTCTACGTCAGCTTGTTTGGTACGGGCAGAGTATTGGCCATGAAGCGGTTTATCTTGCCATCGCTTCTGTAACTGGTCGGTTGCATTCGTCTTTGCTGTCTTTTTTTTTAGGTATTTTGCAGTTTCAGCCGGTGTATTGTGCTGTAGTTGCATCTCTACGCCCATTTGAAACTCCATTTTGAATTTGTTGGCTTCTTTCATTACGGAGTAAAGACGCTTACTACTTTCATGTTCCTTGACGCATACCATCATCCAGTCTTCTGTAGTTTCCAAATATCTTTGGAGGCCAATTGTTGTAGTTTTGTAGGACAGTTCTAGTTGAACTAATCCTCTGCCTCCTTCGGATCTGGGCACATACAGACGATCAACATCAGCTTTGGGATGATGCATGCGATAGCAAGTGAGAAGCTTTCTCGTTTTGGCGTCCATTCGCTTAATTTCAGCTATGGTCCAGTTAAGGACATTAAAGCTGTATTGCACCACAGGGACAGCCAATGTGTTTATGGCTGATATTCTGTTTTTTGAGTTTAGCTCAGTATTTAGTACCAGACGTACACGCCTGTAGTACTCTTTTCTTATTTTTTCCTTCATTTGGGGGTGTTGTATGCCATCTCCTTCGCTAATTCCTAGGTACTTATAAGCTTCATCATGCTCCAGTTCCCTAATCTTTGTGACAAAATCTAAATCTATTAAGGGTGTTTCTGTAATTCTACCTTTCTTGAATGTTACTTTTGCACATTTATCTAATCCGAAGTCCATACCTATGTCGTCACTGAAGTATTTTACAATATTGAGGAGGCCTTTCAACTCATTGTCGTCTTTGGCAAAGAGTTTGAGATCATCCATGTAGAGTAGGTGATTGAATATTTTCTTATTTATTTTGTAACCATAGCTACTGTTGTTCAGTTCATGTGTAAGAGGGATTAAGGATAAACAAAACAGAAGGGGTGACAGAGAGTCTCCTTGAAAGATTCCACGTCGGATATTCAGACGGTTGGATATGGCAGTGCCCCCGGTGTGACTAAGGTATAGTTTGGTGTTCCACATTCCCATGCCGTGCTTAAGGAAATTTAATACCACAGGGGAGACTTTGTACATTTCCAAAGTCTTAAGTATCCAAGAATGTGGAACACTATCAAAGGCTTTACGATAATCAATCCACGCTGCACTTAGATTTCTACGTCGTCTCCTGCAGTTTTCCAGGATCATTTTATTTATCAGAAGTTGATCTTTGCAGCCATATGAACCTCTTCTGCATCCCTTCTGTTTTAGCGGGAGAATGCTGTTTCTTTCGAAAAAGGAATAAGTACGGTTCGTCAGTACAGACGTGATCAACTTATACGTTGTGGAGAGACATGTTATCGGTCTATAATTTTTCGGGTCGTCTGTTTCAGTTGTTATTGGTATGAGGTATGTAATACCTTCAGTAATCCATTCCGGGATTTTATTGGGATTATTTACAAGCGTTGATAATGTTTTTGCAAGAATTTCATGGGTAGATGAGAGATGATACAGCCAGAAATTGGGCAACTTGTCATTTCCTGGGGATTTCCATTTTTGGGATTTCGTTAGAGCTTGCCTAACATCATCTATGGATATATTTTCCCATTCTTGCAGAGGTGTATCCAGCATTCGTTCTTCTTCACGCCGTATCCATTCTGCATTTGGGTTATATTCCTTTGGGCTGCTCCAAATATTTTCCCAAAAATGTCTGTACATTATCAATCGATGGTGGCCTTTTTCGACATGTATAGGTGTTTTTCCAATTTCCCTGTAAAATTTCTTAAGATCTGTTCGGAATATTTTATTTTGGCGATAGAACCTACAACGTTTTTTCGTATCGTCTTGTTCTCTGCGCCTTTTAGCTGAAGTTTCTGCTTCAGCATTTCCTTGATTGATGGAATATCAATTAGGGATTTAATGTTATATTTCCGCTTGATCTTTTTGCATTTAC